ACTCGGCTTTGCCACTGTGAGCGCGGCCAAGTCATGCAAGACCCGATCTCAGCCGGACAGTGACTTCTCACGTGCCTCAGCGCAAGGACAGACACAAAGGAGCGATGGACCAAAGAGGGAAGCAAACCGATCCTCTGAATCAAACTCGCGCAAGCAGGACTCTCAACTCCCGGCGGCAACAGCGGGAACTGACTCGCCACAAGAAGGGCTTTGTCCTCCCGTGGCACAAACCAGCAGCCCACAGCTTCCTCCAAAGCCCCGCTCATTGTATCCGGCCTCGATTTTGGGTTTGGCTATGGTGGCGCGAGGCGAGATTGGCTACCTCATCGCATCGTTGGCCGAGACGGATGGGATATTCTCCCCTCATTCATCCTCATCTCCCGCAACCAACAGCCAAGAGGTAGCCTCTGAGATCTATCTGGTGGTCATCTGGGCGATCACTCTCTGCACTTTCATTGGCCCCATTTGTGTCGGGTCCCTAGTGAAGAGGGTGAAAACCCTTCAGAGTCTTCGAACTCATTCTGGCGGCGAAGACCCTCTAGGCACGTGGGGCGTCTCTTGAGGATATCGCGTACTTCCCTGTGCAAGTAGACTCAATGGGGGCACGGCCACAAAAAGCAAAAAGAAAATCGAGAAAACGACGCCCTCTCAGGCAGCAACTCTTCGATAAAGAATATGGTCATTTCGGCCCTAGGATTTGCGGCCCTTGGGACCTGACTTCAGCAAATCCCAGAGTACGCTGATAGAGTGCGCATTTTTCTAGCATATCATTCCTCCAGCCTATCTTGAAGAGGCAAGGAGTAACAGGATACGAGCTGAAAAAGGAAGGTTGTGAAATGGCGCCAGGGAAGATAAGTTCACGCCGCCAATTTCCTTTGTGTAACACCAAGGCCATTGTCTCGTCTGCTCGACCTTCGCAATAGCGTACGGAACAAGTCCACGACTAAAAATGCTTAGGACGAGTCATGCCATCGGTTTCAATTAACATGACTCCCTAGTCGATACTATGTAGTGTTAGCCATATTGAGCGACGCGGATCCTTACCGGATCGGCAGCGATCAAGGCATGCCACAGCCGTTTGCTATTGTGGGGTCGAAGCTTTGAAAGGTTTGTACTAGCTGCAAACTTTGTAGTTCTATGAGCACTGCAAATAGCCCGTAGGGTTTCTGTACTCAAGGGTTCATCCGGTGTTGTCGATCTTGGCTCAAGTTCAAACAGCTTGATTCACCTCTCACTTCAGGGTGAAGTTGCTGCTGAAGATGGTTGTGGTGCAAGGGGCTCAATCAAAACGAGTCGGTCGCGCCGGTAACGAGAAGGAAAAAGCAATTATTTGAGATAGTTTCAAAGCGAAGTGATGAAACACCCAAAAATGGACCAATCTAAGCAAGATCTGCGTGTCTAGTCGTGGAGTTCGCTAATTCCTCCTGCTTTTAGTCTTGACTGGATGGTATCACCTTGCAATGACGATAACGGCCTTTGCTTTTATTTGATGACCGGTAAGGTGACCTGTCATGCTTTTCAGCAAGGGAGGGTTGTCCATTCTCCCTTGCGACCATGTGCTCTGCAGTCTGCCGTCAGCACAGACCTCCAGTGAGGTCGACTGTTCTGAGAGTTGAGGCTTGGCTCTGTTTCATGCCATCCACAACGGGATGAAGCAATGATGGAATCGTACTCCGTACTGTAGAACGGTAGAAGTCCTTGTCGTCAGTGCACTTCACAGGCCCCACTACTGAATAGACTTTTGGGCCTGCGTATATGCGCTAAGATTGACGTAGGAAGCTGTTAAAAATAAGTCAGATTTCATGGCCTTGGCCTGCGCAAAAACAGTGATCTGCCGAGAAGCTTCCTGCACCGTTGAACCGGGCAGCTATGGGCCTTGACGAGAGCAATATCACTCCGACCCATCTGGATTTGATTCAAGGCTACGGTATACTGTATACATAGCGCCTGATGAGCAATCGTGAACTGCTCACAAGTCGCAAGATCTTCCTGCTTGGTCTGCGCCGCAGTACGGAGTACGGAGTAGCCGCTCTTAGGTGTCGTCAATTTTTGCCCAATTCGTGAATGGAGGTCTCCTTGGTCAAGCCTTTACGGTCACTGCAACTCATGAAATTTCACTTCGGGTTTGACCGGGTTTAGAAAGCTGCCTGAATTGCATCATAATTGTACCCAGCAAGCAGCCAATACCGCGGATTTCGCTTCAACCCCTGACAACGCCCAAACCTTGGTCTCAAAGCCTCGAAGCTCTGCGTAAGAGCAAGACTGGACGCACCCGACACTCTGGTAACAACCGGTGCCAAGAGTGGGCGTAGTTCATGGGCATCACCAATCAAGGCGTGTTGAGGTTCGGACGGCTTCGCATTTCCCAACCCTGAGAACGGCTAAAATTGAGATTTACAGTGTGAAACCTCAGCTGTCACTTAAGTCGTTGAGACCTGTCGTAAAGGTCTTTTTCCGTACTCGATCTTGAACGGCCCAGCCCCTAATCAGCAGAAAGTCACGGGGCGCAAATGGATAATTGCTTTTTCCCCCCTTCTGCACCTCGTCCCTTTCCGTATGTCATGCGCATCGCACCCCTCAGCGATGATGCTCCTGGCAGGGTTATCCAATGCGCGAGGTCCGCGTTCTATTTTTCATTTTTCCTGGGCCCAAGTCATAATACTCTCAGTCTGAAATTAAAGGAGCATAGCTGAACTCTATTTTGGGTGTCAGTATGTCTGAAGTACGACGACCCAAGCATGTGGATGGTTTGGCACACACCCGCAGCAGATTCGCCAATGATTTCCAAGGTAGAGCCCGACTCCATGCGAGCACTGGTAGACGTGAGGAACCATAAGGTAATTGTTCAGCACATGGCCTCTTGTTAGAGAAGGCCGGTCAGGAATGTCAATTGGCCCATGACTGCCCGCAGAATTTGACACTCGCAGCCGTTAGAACAGCACGAGAAGAAGCACAGGCTGCATGGTAACCTGCATATGCACATAGTTTACCGGGCAAATGATGCACTTCTTGCATTGCTCCGTGAATTGTCCCTTCAGGAACGTTGACAAAGGGGGCCGTTCGCCGATCGCCACTCAAAGAGGAAATGAGGAAGCAAGGAGGTGACCGAGCAAAAAAAAGAAAACATGCAGCCACGAAAGCATGGGAGTTGCTCAGATGGGACGCTGAATGGCAGGTTGTGCCAGTCAAATTCCTGCTTCAGATTTCCTTGGGACTGTGCGTTGATCGTCCATACCAGCAACCACGTTTGTCCACGCGAACCACACCTGTCTGAGGCTCGAACCGATCGTCCTCGCAACGGCTCGTCCTCTATCTCGACTCCCTTTCAAACCTGCCAATCATGCCCCTAGCTCGGGATGTGCTGCACAGATTATGACAGGGTGCAGGACTGCATTTGGCAGCTGAACGAATGCCAAGAAAACTTGCATGCCATCGGCCATGCTACTGGTCTAAGGTCTAGACTTGTGACAGAAGATCTGGTGTTTCAGCCTGGTTTCGTCCAATCATACACACAGTCCGCTTCCAACGAACGAGAAAAAATAGTTGGAGTCGAAAAAGAAAGTACCTGTAGGACGCCGTAGCGTACCAGGGAGGCGGGCCCATAGGGCGCTGCTCGGCCAATCTTCCCGACGTACGCCACGTCCGCTTAACAAACTACCCCCAAAAAGTTGATCCGGTGGTAAATGAAGTCCTAGACGCGAACTAGACCCTTAAGCGATGAGATCCAACTCCACTCCGAGGCAATCCCTTGGCCCGAGCCCAGTCGGTACCTACGGCTGGGGTGGACGGTTTTTGGTGATCAAGACATTTGATGATGATCCTTCGTGGACCCTGCGTCGAGAAGAGAATAGGGTGTCCAGTAGCCACGGAATAGATCCGCTTCGCTCTTCACCTCACGACTGTTGGGCCGGTTGCTGATCCAGAGCCGTTCTCGGCTGTCCATGCGACAGGACAGAACGGCGAATGTGCACTAAGCCCATGTCAATGTCATCGTCCATGCTGTCTCTCAGGCTGAAGATCTCGATCATTCCGGTTTCTCCCTCGATGCCATTCCTTTTTCTGGCCCCGTTCAAACTCCTTGTCATTTCCAAGTGTCCTCGAGATTGTGAAGCGGGTCAGCTATTTTTGTATCCCATCATCAAAATTCCCTGACTGTTCCATCTGCTCCGGCGATCATCCTTGGGTATTTAGAGGAGGGATACGCCTGTCTTGCTGTTACTTACCAGACTTCAGAACCAATAAGCATAAAAGCAGAACAAAAGCGACTTCACCCACTGTCATAGCAGCTACAATCACACAATCCACACCTTGAACACCATATCTCGAACGTATATCGTCAGCCTGTCCTTCTGCTACGCTTCAGCAACTGGATAGATTATCTCGCCTCGCTCGCTTGCCCGAAACAACTTCAACTTCTCAGCACTTCGACTTGAGGGCGAACAGAAACCTCATAGTGACAATGCCTTCAGCAACAAAGTCCACAAAGTAAGCCCCATTCATGTGCACACATATTCTCCACAGAAGACTCACGTGTGGCTTTATTTCAGGATGACCAACGGCGAGAGCAGCGGCCTAAGTGCCGGGAAGTTGAGCCATATTCCAGAGGCGAGCAACGGTGTCGTCGACCGATTCTCACAGTCAGCATTTGCTGATGAGCCTTACTTCGCTCGTGCGCGCATGCAAGATCGGTCAGCTCACGTATCACGTTTGAGCAGTCAACTTGACGCAACCGAAGAAATCTTGCGAAAATGAAGGTGGAGGAAAGTTCCGGGGGGATATCTCTTCACTCCATATTTGGGGAGTGGCGGGAACCTGAAGAAAAATTCGTCCAAAAGATTGACAGAATGATGTTCTATATACAAAGTCTATGATTGTCCTATTAGCGTACATTTCATCAAGACTGCGCCCCAAAGCACAGAGGCGGTTCTTTTTTTTTTTTTTTTTTTTTCTTTTCCTTTCTTCCCCTGATTTGCGTCATAACCGAGTTCAATAGACTTCTCTCAATGCAAGAGCTCCACTATTCGTTGTGCTACCTTGTCGTACAGGGTGCTGGGAAACTCATGGCCTGCGTTGTAGTACTCAAAATCAACATTTCCCTGGAGGGTCAACGTGGCATCGGGCACAAGCTCATCTTTCACGATAATGGCATCATGGATGCCGCACATGATGAGGACTTTGTCACTTGGAAGGCCATTTGTCAATTGCTCTTTCTTTGGAAGTCCTTTCTGTGCTGCCAGGTACTTGCCAAGGCGTGTCCAGGTGTCCCACTGTCGCTGTTGCAGGATCGGGCCAAAGCGCATACTAGACATAAACGCATGAACAAATCCGGCATGGTTGTTCACTTGCCAAGAAACGGCGTTGGGAACCGTAACATGTGGATAGGCCCGAGACAATAACTGCACATTGCCCGCGGTTTGCGAGGGAAGCTCTTCGGTGAGGGCATCTGTAACGTTGAGTTTTTCGTTCTTTGGCCTTGGAGTAGTCAAGGGCCCAGCACGGAGGCGACGACCAACAAGGAAACCGAGTACCCGTTCTGGAACCAGACCACGCGAATAAAGAAGCCGGGACTGAAAGCTGATCTGGGAGTCGCGGATCAACCCTGCTGGGGCCAATAACACCAATGCGGAGAGTAGATTAGGGAAGTAGGATGCAAATGCCGCTGCAATACCACCGCCCAAGGAGTAACCGACCAGACAGAATTTCCCAGAGCCAGCTCCCGTCCAGGAGACAGGAGAGGAGCTTAGAGCGAGGAAAACCTGGGTTGCAAAAAGTCGATCGTCTTGAGGAGCGTCAGACGGACAGTCCGAATAACCTCTTCCGAAACTGGAAGGCAATCTCTCAGCAAAGACTCCCAAGAAAATTTGGTGAATAGCGAAACAACATACAGGTCAAAAAGCATCACTCGGCAACCCTGATCGGCCAAAGCATGAGCCAATCCGCCCAGTGCAATGCAGGGTGTGGTGATTCCATGGACGAATAATACTTTAGGCCCGTCCTCTGGACCCCATTCATACACCCTCATGGAGCCATACGGCGAGGCCACATCCCGCGCTCCAGGGAGCACATCAATTGGCAGAGGGAGTTGGCGCTTCTCCGCATCGGACAAATTCGAAATTGCTGCACGGGGCGAAGGGAGAATTGTACCCTTAGGATGCTGTTCGGAGAGGAATGAACGGAAAAGAAAAGCGAGAGTCATGGATGCCCCAGTCAAAGCTAGTAGGTGAAGGTGAACCTGCGGACCGTTGAAAGAATTGGAGGCTCTTTCAACTGCCTGGGTGTACCAAGCCATGGCCGACTGGTACGAACTCTGGTCCCTCGAACTCTGGATCTCCTCTCTTTGGCTGTTCCAGGGCCTCTATGACTTGTCCTTGATTCTCGAATTGTTCTAGTTAGAAGCTAATGAATCAATGATCTAAAAGTTGACAGGACGAAAAGCAGCGTAATTCATTAAAGAGGCTTGAAGAAGGAAAAAAGGAAGCCGAGGTCCTCCGGAGATGTTGAAGTAAAGATGGATGCCTTGTCGGTTGGCTCTTTCCCCATAAACCGATAACCAATAAGGCACCAACAGGCAGCAAGTGACTAATCTGGGGCTCACCAAAACAACACCAGCTCGATGCGTTCTTGGGTTCAGGAAGCACAACACAGCTCCTCACAATCATCTCGTGCCGATCATCTAAAATCACCCTTTTGATTGATGATGCAACCGTACATTGATACATCTTGTCAAAAAAAAAAAAAAATATCTGAAGCTCATACTGTTCACCAATTTTCCTGTCCGATAATTATAGCAGTGAGCTGAACAATCCGAGGCACTACTATATGACCGAGGCTCGAATCTATCCAGAAAAACTGGAAATTCATCTGCTAAACCTAGACTTGGACAAATCTTTCTAGAATTGACCAGATATGCGAAGCGTACAGTTTCAATTGATACACGCTAATGAGCATATGCACCCTTCAAGTGGATGGATCGCCAGAAAAGTGTGAAAAGTGTCGGCATATCTTCGAACTGGACATGCATGATGCATGAACGCAGGCAACACCATAGGGTGGTTAACTTGTTATCAAACGCCAGACTTGCGCAGTTACAATAATCACGCAGAGATGTCATACGTACAGACAGCACGGGCGACGATCACAACGGGCCGCCGACTTATTCATGCTCTCATGCGCAACAATGGGGAGTCGAGAATCCTCCACTTGGCCCAGCGAGCTGTAGAACCGCTTTGAACTGAACTTGGATGTCTAAAACCTGGTGGGGTTGAGGCAGGAGGAGAAACGCCCTATTCGAAGACAACCCTGCAGAGAGCTCAGGCGATTATTCCAGAGATCCAGCTGCTGGCTCTCGCACTTTCTTTTACCCCATAACCTCTTAGCAATATTCTGCGGGGAAATCCCGGCAGTTTGATTGCCGATTCATAGGACGAGAGACGTTCCCGGCTAAATCGCGATTCATCCCGAAGCCCTTGCGCATATGCGCAAGACCGCACATGCTGCACCATCAAGAAGAAGGATCTGCAAGGTACGCGCCTCGTTTTATGAGTTCTTCGGATAGCAATTTTACTGCCCCCTCCGATGTTTGCATTGCTGTATTTCTGTCAATGACCACGACGGTGTTTGATCAGGGTTCTGTGGGTTGCGTATGGTAAACGCTGACCCGGGATGTCCGTATACTACCTGTAGCGATAAGGTGAACTCGAATAGTCTCTGCGATTGCGTGCTGTACTGAGAGGACAGCTTTCGACGCTCTGTCAATTCCGCTCAGTAGCCGCCCTTAGGGTGTATGAATCTCGCAGTCGTATTCCTGGACGTCCGAGGTAACAACGATGGACCGTGACGTTTCTTCATTTGGTCTATGTGCTAAGACAGGAATATATCCTTGACAATTTCTCTTGGCAAGTAGATAGATGGGCTTTTCTTTGGCAGTTGATGCAGAATTCTGCCTGAAGACGCACCCCGCGCCATCTGAAGCGAACATCCGAAACCGAGTGCGCCGGCACTATCGTCAAGGCTATTTGCTATTGATGGGATTCTATCCCCGCATTCCGGTGATCGACATGGCTTCAGGGCCCCTTCGATAATTAATCAATCCTTCATATCAGGTCATCGATGGCTTGAAATGAAGCTGACGCCCAATAACGCCACAGTCTGCTAGTTCCTGCCACCGCGTCATCTCTTCTAGCGCTTGATTTCGACGTCGCAGCATCTGAATATTCAAACCAAGTCTCTGAGAGCCGTTTCAGAAATCAGCCTTCGAGGAGTATGTGTCGTTACCGATCCAAACTCTCACTCCAAGGCCACCGGAAAAATTTTGTTTGCCCGCCGTGCCTAAACGGCAAAACGGAGTACTTCCATGCAATCCTTCACATTGAGAAAGCTCATTTTCCACGTCTCAGTACACGCTGGCATGTCGACTTATCCCTTTTAGACGAGGCGCCGTCTGCCGAATTGAGTCGTGGTTTCGAGTTGAATGATACTATACCAGACAGGCTCCGGGAACCGACATCCTCGCTTGATAGGCATCATGAACTCCCCGCTGAGGGCTTGATTTGGTTTTACCCTTGCAGCTCTAACATTTCACTCAGCTGCTGGTGGACGTAGTTCCTAGTGCGGAAAGACTGTGCATGAAAACGATCCCTTACCATCTTTGAGAGCATACCCCAAAGGGGAAGTCGCTTCGACCATCTCCCTCAGATGTAGACCCGCCGACATACCATTACCTTACTAGACAACATGGTCTTGTAAGCTGAAAATGGTTGCGTATTATGTGGTCCTCTCGGCCGTCATCTTCCTGGTGTCCCTTGTCGAAGGGATTGCCGTGAACATGCAGAAACTGGCTATGGCCCAGGGTGGCAGTGATACTGCACCTAGCAAAAGTAGCTCGGAGCTTTCTCCGCTACTGCACAGATGAAACGCGAACACTGAATCATGGCTCTGTGATGGACACGGAACTTTTGAGCTCCTGTTACTCGAACGACTTAGTGTGCGGAGCCCTTGTAAGTCCATGCGAGCTCAGGGTCCACTTCCAGACATAACTTGCTGCCCTTGTGACATTCATTGCCTGCATGGCTAGCCCCCTACAATCTTGGAAAAACATCGCTCTCCTATCTTGAAACAGATGAATGCGACGGACTGACGGACCGTTGCACCGGATATGTTGAGAGTGAGATGCACTCCTCCTAGGCTAGCTCCGGGGTAAAAGGGAAGGACGATCTCACTTGAAGAAAAGGTATATAAAGGCCAACAACCTCGTCTTCAATTTGGTCAATCATCTCTGCTGGTCAGATAACAAAGGCAAAGACTTCATTCATTCTCTTCTGCACCAAAATGCATCAACGCGCGCTCCTTTTCTCTGCTCTTGCTGTGGCCGCCAATGCTCAGCAGGTCGGCACACAGAAACCAGAAACACACCCTGCTCTGACCTGGCAGAAGTGTACTGCTGCTGGCAGCTGCACCCAGCAGAGCGGCTCCGTTGTGATTGATGCCAACTGGCGCTGGCTTCATTCGACGAAAGATACCACCAATTGCTATACCGGCAACACGGTATGCATTTCCTCGGCAGCCGTATTCAAGGACGCAATTTTGCTGATAATGCCAATAGTGGAACACGGAGCTCTGCCCTGACAACGAATCCTGCGCTCAAAACTGTGCTTTAGATGGAGCCGATTACGCGGGCACTTACGGTATCACTACCTCTGGATCCGAGCTTAAAATCAGCTTTGTCACCGGTGCCAATGTTGGCTCGCGTTTGTACCTTATGAAGGATGAGACGACGTATCAGCAATTCAACCTGTTGAACAGCGAGTTCACCTTCGATGTCGATGTTTCGAACCTCCCTTGCGGTTTGAACGGCGCTCTGTACTTTGTGGCTATGGATGCCGATGGTGGCATGTCTAAATATCCTGCCAACAAGGCTGGTGCCAAGTATGGAACCGGATACTGTGACTCCCAGTGCCCTCGGGATCTCAAGTTTATTAATGGCGCGGTAAGATAAACCCTCGCAATGGGAGATCTGGTCGACGATTACATAGAAGCTGACAATAATACAGGCCAACGTGGAAGGCTGGGAGCCCTCTAGCAACGACAAGAACGCAGGCGTTGGCGGCCACGGATCCTGCTGCCCTGAAATGGATATCTGGGAGGCTAACAGCATTTCCACTGCTGTGACTCCTCATCCCTGCGATGACGTCTCACAGACCATTTGCAGCGGTGATGCCTGCGGCGGCACTTACTCTTCTACCCGTTATGCAGGCACCTGTGATCCTGACGGCTGTGACTTCAATCCTTTCCGCATGGGCAATGAGTCCTTCTATGGCCCTGGCAAGATCGTTGACACGAAATCCAAGATGACTGTAGTGACTCAGTTTATAACTGCTGACGGCACTGACAGTGGTGCTCTTTCCGAAATCAAGCGCATCTATGTCCAGAACGGCAAGGTGATTGCCAACGCGGTCTCCAACGTTGCCGGCGTGTCCGGCAACTCGATCACCTCGGACTTCTGCACGGCCCAGAAGAAGGCCTTTGGTGATCAGGATATTTTCGCGAAGCACGGCGGTCTCAGCGGCATGGGCAAAGCCTTGTCTGAGATGGTTCTTATCATGAGCATCTGGGACGACCATGCTTCCAGCATGATGTGGCTCGACAGCACCTACCCCACTGATGCTGATTCCTCGAAACCTGGTGTTGCCCGTGGCACTTGCGAGCACGGCGTCGGCGACCCGGCAACCCTCGAGGCCCAGCACCCTGATGCCTCTGTGACTTTCTCCAACATCAAGTTTGGTCCCATTGGCTCGACCTTCAAAGCTTAAGCGATTTGACAGGAAAGTCAATCTCGAGCGGGAGGAGACACAGATTTATGTCTGCAATGGTTGAGGGCAGGCTCCCTCGAGAAATGGCAGGAAGAGGAGTTTCTCCTCCCGGACTTGTATATAGTCAGACACACGATTTACAAAGGCCCTGTAAGCTTCAGGGCATGCTTTCACTTGCTGTTTTCTTATCTGTCACTTTCTTTCATGAAATTTCTCTTTTTGGTTTCCGTTCCAAGTGAAGTGTTTTACTGTTTCCTTTGGAAGGACCTTGACGTTGACTTCTCCTGTACATATGAAGTTCATTGAACAGTTTTTGTTGCCTTTCTGCAAGCCCATTGTCCTCGTTCCCGACAACCACAGATGACACCCTAGTATTCGTATTCTTGAAGCAAACGAAGGAAGATCTCTTTGACCGCACCCGCAAAGTCTCCTTCTCAACACGACTTATCTTCGGACTTTGGAAGCGGTGCAACCATTTAGTGATACTGCTATTTGGAACCTACTCTCGGCGGGGATCTTGATGATAACTGGTGCTTTTGGCTTCCCAGGGCTACGAAGATCAGATTTCAGGAACATCGACAGCGGCGGCGCCGCATCTAGTTACTTTTTTTTTTTTGTCGATTCAGCTTTTCACCGCAGGATACGGGCGCAAGTGTCACGGTCCCAGTCTGATATTCCTCCTCGTAATATTTAATGGACTTCTAGAGTTCAGAGATGACGGAATTTAGGGCATAGTTGAGTAGGTAGGCCAGTTGGTCTACTGTATAAGAGCCCACTGGCGGAACATTCATCGGCCCGTAACGTACCCACTTTAAATGTCCATCTATTCTAGAGCTCCTTCGAGGAGAAGTAAAGAAAGACCTCGAATTGCCTCCTTCCCACGCCATGTTTGACACGGTCTGCACCCTCCCGCTCTCAGCGGACCTGTTCTCACAGGCCATCCATCCTAAGGAGCCAATTGTCTCCGTTGGGCTGTCTACTGGCCACGTCCAAACTTTTCGGCTTCCGTTGGAGGAGAGCGATACCGACGATGATGGGGCGGAGTCGACTTCCTCGTCGCGCAATGGCAAGGGACACATCGATACGATGTGGAGGACCCGCCGACACAAAGGGAGCTGTCGGTGTCTAGGGTTCGGGGTGGATGGGGAGATGCTGTACTCTGCGGGGACGGATGGGTTGGTCAAGGCCGCAAAGGCGGAGACTGGCGTGGTGGAAAACAAAATTGCGATTCCTCCTGCGAAGGATGGGTGAGTCAATTGGTGTTGTGTCGCAATTACGCTACTTCTTTGTGGGTGGGTCAACTGAAGGTGGCTGTTATGGCAGATCGGTCGATGCTCCGACAATCGTTCATGCGCTCTCCCCTCAGACTCTCCTCCTCGCTACCGACTCCAGCGCTCTCCATCTCTACGACCTGCGAATTCCTTTCTCTCCCGTGTCCGCTCGGCCACAGCAGTCACATCATCCCCATGATGATTACATTTCGTCTCTTACACCACTCCCTCCCTCGGATACCAGCACCTCGGGCTTCAGCAAGCAATGGGTGACCACCGGTGGCACTACGTTAGCCGTCACAGACCTCCGCCGTGGTGTCTTAGTGCGCAGCGAAGATCAGGAAGAGGAATTGGTAAGCTCCGTTTACATCAGCGGTTTACGCGCGGGTGGAACGAGCCGGGGCGAAAAGGTGATTGTGGGAGGTTCCAGCGGCGTCTTGACACTCTGGGAGAAAGGCGCTTGGGATGACCAAGACGAGCGTATCTACGTCCAGCGGGAAGCCGGAGGCGGAGAGTCGCTGGAGACCCTGGCGGTTGTTCCTGACGAGCTCGGAAAGGGCAAGATGATTGCCGTCGGCCTGGGAAGTGGTGGAGTGAAATTTGTCCGGATGGGTATGAACAAGGTCGTTTCAGAAGTCATGCATGACGAGACCGAAGGTGTCATCGGTCTGGGATTCGACGTTGAAGGACGTATGGTCAGTGGCGGTGGTCAGGTTGTCAAGGTCTGGCACGAGGCCGTCGACTCTGACGGGATCGACGGGGACATGGCTGGCGGGAAACGCATGTTTGGCGGGGATAGTGACGACAGCGACGATGGCGACGACTCGGATGATAGCGATCGTGAGAGTCCCAAGGCTGCTCCGCCTCAGCGAAAGCGCAAGAAGAACAAAGGCAAGGGTGGCCAAGACATTATGGCGTTTGCCGACATTGATTGATTTGGCTCGACTTAACTTGATTTCCGGATACCCCAGACGGCTTTGAAAAATCAAAGGTGAAGTATTGCATGCATACATCGGGTGTTTATGCGAAAGAAAAGCTGCAATTACGTGGTTGGTGCAACTTCGACGAAACATGTAACTATATCAAGGTATCATAGTATATTATCAATCATACCTAGTACCCCCTGTGTTCAACAGAAATGAAGACACATACTTAATCTATGCTAGGGGACATCTACATCCACTTCTGCGTGAACACCCCATAGCACTAGTGGCATCCTGTACCTGGATAGTGTTCTATGGGGCGGATTGGAGAACGGGGGATTTCCGGCTTGGTGATTGTCTTATCAGTGACAATGGATTGAGGGATCCAACATCCAAATACCAGCATGTAGTCAACTCCATTTAATAGGTTCGTCTTCGTTCTGCATTCTCCAAAGTGCCTGTCAAAAGTGCTTCTACATCATCGGGATCAGCAACTCGTTAACTGCCGAAACTCCACGGCCCAAAAAGAGACCCACGGCAAAGAGCTTCCTTCGCTCCAATCGCTCCAGGACATTGAACGGGATTCGCATCTCCCCGCTGGTGGGGTGTGGGGAGAAGAGGTTATTAACTTATTATTCATGGCTGATCAAGCCTCATTTCCGAGAGACTATGGACTAGAGAACCTATACTTATAGCCATGCTGCCCTGGTTTCCTCTTTTGTTTTATTGATTCACCCTTTACCAATTCTTGCGGGTCCCGTGCCAGTCAATTGTCGTTTTGCAACTTTGATCGCAGCACGAGCTGGCCATACACTTTCTCAAGATGGACGCCTTCGAGTACAATGCAAATCCGGGCCGTGTCATCTTCGGCAGTGGTACTATTCAAAAGCTCCCTGATGAAATTGCGCGGCTCAACCTAAACGCCCCGCTGGTCCTGTCGACACCGCAGCAGGTCGGGCACGCCGAGGCCGTCAAGTCGGTTCTCAAGGGCCATGTAGCTGGCATCTTTTCCGAAGCTACGATGCACACCCCTACCCATATCACAGATAAGGCAGTCGAGTATGCGACGTCCCAAGGAGCGGATTTGGTCGTCTCCATCGGCGGTGGAAGCACCATTGGCCTGGGCAAGGCGATCAGCATCCGGACTGGCCTTCCTCACATCTGCATCCCGACTACATATGCTGGTAGTGAGATGACTCCTATCTTGGGCGAGACGGCGGACGGACTGAAGAAGACTCGCTCGGACCCGAAGATTCTCCCTGGGACCGTCATCTACGACGTCGATCTTACCATGACTCTACCAGCGGCGATGAGTGCGACGAGCGGTGTCAATGCAATTGCACATGCTGGTTAGTGGAATGCTGGTTCTGTGTTTATGCCGTTCAAAGGCTAATCGCCATGACAGTTGAGGCACTGTATGCCCGCAACACAAACCCCGTCATCAACTTGATGGCTGTGGAAGGCACCCGCGCACTGGCATCTGCCCTTCCAGAGATCGTTGAGAACCCCTCCTCAAAAACTGCTCGCTCGCTGGCTCTGTACGGTGCCTGGCTCTGTGGCACTTGCCTAGGTAGCGTGGGCATGTCCATCCACCACAAGCTCTGCCACACCCTCGGCGGCAGCTTCAACCTGCCTCACGCAGAGACGCACACGGCTGTCCTGCCACATGCTATCTCCTACAATGCTCCCAAGATCCCTGAGGCTATGAAGAAGCTCGCAGAGGCGCTTCCGGACAGCAACGGAGATGCTATTCATGGCCTCAATGTCCTGCTGGACAAGCTCAAGGTCAAGCGGGGTCTGAAGGAGTTTGGCATGAAGGAGGAGGATATTGACAAGGCTGCGGACATCGCTGTAAGCAATCCTTACTGGAATCCTCGAGACATTGAGCGTACTCCTATCCGGGAGTTGATTCGGAGGGTAAGGGCTGGCGAGCCGGCAAGAGCAGATCTTTAGCTAGCAGTCATATATCCTGCTATATTATGTAATTCCAGTTTCAAATGTTAATAAATGTCCCTAATGAGAAAATGATCTGATCGCCTTTTTGGAGATTATCGTACGGTGAAGCCCTCCAAACGCCATTAGTCCCATTGGCTGCGGATGGATGGCGGGGTGAAGTGGGGGATTTTGTCTCGCTGCCACCAAAAATTAAAAATTTCCGCCATCACAACATCCCACCCTTAAGAACAAGTTCCTCCACCTAACCCTTGCCTGGGGCCTGTAATCAAAATGGCAACCGAAATGCAGGCAGCGCCCGTTCTCTCAACACCGGATTCTCTCATCCTTGAGGCCACCGAACCTGTCGCCCGCCAGAATGCGACTCGCGCCCTGTCTGACGAAGAGCTCTCCATCACCTACGATATCGAGCGCACATTGCAGGAAATCCGCCAGGCACGGTACAAGCGCATCGCCCTGCAGTTCCCAGATGATATGCTTCCGGATGCTCCCCGTGTTTTCCAGCTGCTCAGCCGAGGTCTTGCGCGCTGCGACGTCGACAGGACCACCGCCGAAAAGAACGGTGCGGAATCGGAGAATCTGGCTCAAGACGTCTCTCAACTTAGTGTCGATGATAAGCCGGAGCCGGAGCCCAGATTGTATATATTGGCGGATACATCTTACGGGACCTGTTGTGTCGACGAGGTCGCTGCAGAACATGTGAATGCGGACGTTGTCGTGCATTATGGGCGCTCATGCTTGTCGCCTACGGCCAGACTACCTGTCATCTATGTCTTCACTCACAAGGAGTTACCTATTGAGCCAGTCATCCAGGCGTTCAAAACGACCTACCCGGATCAGGCCACCAAGATCGTACTCGCGGCCGACGTGACCTACTGCGACCATATTCCTGCCGTGTACGCGCGCTTAGTAGAGGAAGGATATACCAACCTTTACGCTACGGAGCTAATCCACTGTCCATCATCTGCCATTCCCAATCGGACGGTGCCGGACTCCGTGCGTGAAAACCCCGAATCGCTGTCGGAATGGCAGCTCTTCCACATCTCGGACCCGCCAACTGCGCTTCTCCTAACGCTCGCATCCCGCGTGGCTGCGATCCACATCTATCCCACCGCCGACGCGCCGAGCGACAATGTCAAGCCGCTGCCTGCGTCGACATCGGCTGCCTTGGGGCGTCGCTACGCTATTCTGACAAGGCTCAGCACCGTCCCTATTTTCGGGATCTTGATCAATACGCTCAGTGTGAAGAATTACCCTCATATCGTGGAGCATGTGAAGCAAAAGATCGCAGATGCAGGAAAAAAGAGCTACATGTTTGTTGTAGGCAAACTGAATGCCGCCAAGGTGGCTAATTTCAGTGAAATCGGTGGCTGGGTGGTGATTGGTTGCTGGGAGAGTTCCCTTGTCGACAGCAAAGATTTCTGGAAACCAGTGATCACCCCGTTTGAGTTGGAGCTTGCTCTCAAGGGTGACCACGAGCGGGTCTGGACTGGAGCCTGGCAGAGCGACTTTCAGAGCATCCTTGACCAACCTGCCGAAGAAGCGCAATCAGCCGACGACGAAGGATCACCAAACGGCGACGACGACATGTCCGAACCCGAGTCTGCACCTCCCGAGTTTGATCTGCGAACCGGCCGGTATGTCTCTCACACGCGTCCGATGCGGAATCCTGCACCCCGCGTTTCCGCTCAGGGTGATGATGCAGTCTCTGCTGCCAGTGGACCGGCCGCTGCCCGAGCTCTAGCCAGACGAGCTAAAGGCGAGTTGGCCATGATCGGCGGGGCCGTCTCTCCAGGGGCTGAATTTCTACGGTCGCAACGGACTTGGAAGGGGCTGGGAAGCGACTTCGATATCCAGTACGACGAAGAGGATCCTAGCGATAGCACTTTGGTCGTCGAAGGGCGCAAGGGCATTGCAAGGGGATATACGGTGGGCGATTCAATAGAGAAACACTAATTTAGCGCGCAAATCAAGCTCTATAGATACCCTGGACGGAGGCTGGAACGGAGTCCGTTACCAAAGACTTGCTTGACACATCAGTAGATCCGACTGCTATGAGTTAGCTAGAGTATAATCAACCAATAATTGTGTAAAGAATTGATAATTGATTGGCAAAAAACAATTTATCCCTCAGGAGCAAAGGAAAGTATCTCGCGCGACACACAGGGCGACCTATCACATGATGGACATAAGCAGATCCCAGGCGTCGTTGGGTTTGATCCCAACACGATCTATCGACCCTACTGAGTTGGCAAAGCAACAACACCCAGCCAGGTGGTGGTGTTATCATCATCTCCTTTATTACCTCTTTTTCTTCCAGTCTTTGCCCTTAGATGGCTTCCGCATGGTGTCCATCTTTGGAGTGCACTCCTTGCCTTGTACATCTTAGCCTGCCTTCTCTTCCCTTATGATGTGCGACGCCCGCATTCTCCGCTTCGATCCTGGCCTCGCGTCACTTTGATCCTCCTCAGAGGCAGTGCCAGAGGGGGGGAAAGAAAAAGAAAAGAATCCGCTGCAATGTCTCTCCTATTTGAATCTCCGGCCTCTGAACCGGAGATGAAAAGTCGCGATTTAGATGAGATGGAGGAGGATACAGCTTCGGTTTTCTCGGAGTGCGCATCGGAGCAGTCTATCCCCCCGACTCAGCGGTCTCTTTCGATGTTTGAACGAGTCATCACCACCCACGCGCCTATCCTTGAATCTCTTCTACTCCAGACTCCCACCGATGCCATCCTCAAGCTCTTTCATACCTCCCGCTACCTTCGATCCTTCCTCCAAAATTACCCAACGGCATGGAAGTACCTCTCATTCCGCTTGTTCTACCCATCCGGCAGTCAGTTCCCGCTCCGGATTGTATTTCCTGGAGGGACCGAGTCGGTGATGCCACGCCAATCGCGGTCATATGCTCTCGATCAACTGCTGATGAACGTGGTGGTTCCGTTCAGCCCGTGTCTGAAGAGTCTGGAGCTGGATAACACCGCGGTCTCGGGACAGATTCTAATATCTACTGTTTTGCATTCGCGGCGAGAAACCCTGGAGCATCTTTCTGTTCGAGGCTGCAAGAATGTCTCTCTCAAGTACCACATTATCCCCTATCTGACCATGTTCGGGCTCCAGTACGACGTGGACATGGAAAGGAACATAGGAAGCTCCTCGTCGACGAAACGTCTCGCGCTCAAAAGTCTCTATACGTACCGATGCCGGCATCATAGACGCAGACCTTATCTCTCATCTTCTCTCTTGCGGAAGGATTCTGACTCCGAGCCTACGCATGAATTGGTCAGCCTCTGTCACAAATTGGGGATCTGGACTGACACTGCGTGGTGCTCTACTCCTGCCGGAAGATGCTTCCGGAGAAGGAGCTATGTTTCTATGAGGGTTCCCCAAGGTTCTGCCGAAGTATGGGTTGTTTTTGACCGGCTGTGGAGGTCTAAGAATTGGATTGGCCCAGTGGAACAGGGCGGTCGACCAAGCCAGAGAGATGGAAAGTTGTGGGAACACAACGAGACCGGCTGCAATGGCGAGCCACTCGGCACCGGGGAAGGACAGGGGCTGGGCGAAGGCAAGATGACGCCTGCCCATTTGCGCTCAAGCCACAGTCGTTTTGTTGACAACGTCCGCTGCGATAACTGCTTTGAGGAGATTTCTGAGAGATGCGAACAATGTAGTATCCTGATGCACTGCGTCGGGTGTCGAAAGACCCTGTGTGCGAGCTGTGCGTATGACCGACCCTATCTCCACAGCCGCAGCAGCTCGTCAACTCCAGATGACGCTGCGAAAAGCTTCTGGTGGGCACCTGGCGCAGTTGTGTCCCCGTGTCTCATGCTGGATCCTCTCAGAAGCTCGACGGACAATGTCTCTGTCAATCCCAATGACCCGGTACCTTATCCGAACCTGAAATTTCATTGGTGTTGTACCGAGCCCATATTTTCTGGAGGCGGCGGCATCAGCATCGGCACCCCTAACCGGGACGTGGACCAGGTGCGAGCAGCTCCTTTGCCCCGTGGTCAAGGCTGGGAGGACTTGGAATACTCGGCCAACGAGTGGAGCAAGACCTTTCCCAAGTATGCTTACGGCGACCCCCGCAAACCGGACTACTCCCTTGAGACAGGCCATATCGCCATGATGAAATGGCTACTGGGACCGCCTGATCGCCAGCCTACAGCATGTCCTCGGAATCTGTGCCAAGAATGTTACGACGCTCCTCAATGGAAGGTTCACTGCAAGAGTTGTTCGAAGCCATTATGCATTGAACACGACCTGCGGGGCCTTCGTCTTCGCATTTGCGGTTATCGGGACCTGGCTCTGGAGAAGATGGCTATTCAGAACCCATCCGGGCTGAGGTCCGACCAGGTCAACAGCGAATTCATGCGAGAGCTCGGCATTCCACAGCCTGGTCTTGCAGGTTCCACTCCCGAAATCGAGCTACCTTACCGAACCCTGCGCGTCTTCGATTCCACAACTAGCAGTTTCACCGAGGACAACGGAGATGGGGGTGCCATTGCTGATATGGGACATCCTGGCCTGCTGAGTTCGGGAATATCTTCCAGGCCTGTAGCGCCTATCCACCGCCGATCGAGGAGTTTCTCGGTCAGCAATTCAAACCGCTCTCGGTCCTCGTCACCCTCGTCCTTCTTCTGCGAGTCGCCGTTCGATTCTCCCAAATGGCAAGGCTGCCAGTCCTTCTTTTGCCCGCAGATACGCGCGGTCGGTGACCAGCGCCCGAGATGCTCTAGTATTCTGCGGGAATGCACGGCCTGCTCAGTCTACGTCTGCCAGGATTGTATCAACGTGAACCCACCTTGCAACTGTTCCTTTTGTCAAGTGCACTACCACTGCCCGAATTGCATGAAGCTCCGTGAGCGGGACGGGACATGTCGCCGGACGGCAGAAGAAAAGGCGCGACGGGAGCAGAAGTGGAAGCAGGACATGCAGGCCCTGGAAGCGATTCTAGAGTTCAAGCTGGCGGACGAGGTTGTGGAATTTGCAGGACAATTCTTCGACCTGATCAGGGCCATGTCAGACGTTGAAGTACATGAGGTGCAGGATGTTCAGCAGAACAATCCATCAGATTCGATCTTTGCATTCGATCAGAGTCCTCTCGGAGCGGAATTCCTGGTGGATGATGCATTGACTGATAGTTCCGAGTGAAGTTCTGATCCGCATTGTCTTCGGTATCAATAATGTGTGTTTAGCGATATGTTCAACAGCGTCGGACTTTGCGCGGGAAGCAAAGCACTCATGTGATGGGAGTTAGGCGTGACGACTGCTCTGTTCGCATTATTGTCATGGAGCTAGCGAGTATGTTATGGCATATTGGTCATTGTTCCGGTCGTTTACTAGGAAGAGCGTATTTGTTATTCCGTATATGTGCCTTGTAAGGAGTCCGGTTACTAGCTACAGGGAAGAACAAAGCAATAAAATGTCAAACTACATAGACTCAGTTCGCAATTGCCACTACATGGCAGATTTTACAGTCAAAGGGTAAGAATGCTGGTATAGTCTCGACTCAAGCTCTTATGATGAAGAGGTCTCCACAATAATCGACAGATCGCTGCGGAACGGCCCCGCCAACCACCGGGACCGACAGAAGGTACTCGAATTGTATCCAAAAGTGCAGCTCGATCTTCTTTTCAACACCCGACAATCTAATCTGGCATACCTAGTCTATCTTTCTTAAGATCAGGTTGATTGCCAGTTACTGCTAGAGGTAAGCCTGCAAGCTAGGGTTACTACGGAGTAACCCCGCGCAAACAACCGCTAACCCCACACCTCGAATTCTCCAGCTCCAAGCCTGATCGATCAACAGCCTCACACACTCAAACCCACATAATTATAAAAATGTCATCCACAGATCAGGAACAAGATCCCACACCCAAGGACGTCGCCGAACGCGAACGCGAGGAAAAAGAGCGCAAGGCAAAGGAAGACGCAGAGCAGGCGCAGCTGCCGTACAAATGGACGCAGACGATCCGCGACGTGGACGTGACGATTCCCGTGCCGGCGAACATCAAAGGGCGGGATCTGGACGTTGTGCTGACCAAGACAAAGATCAAGGTTGCGATTAAGGGGCAGGAGGCGTTTATAGAGGTGAGCACGAGGACTGGCCCCTTTGGGTCCTGCTGGAAAGCTGGAAGTGAAGGGGGGCTAATGGTGAGCTAGGGCGACCTTCCTCATCCTATTATCGTTGATGAATCGTCCTGGACGCTGGAGACGACGTCCCAGCCTCCCGGGAAGGAGGTCTCGGTGCACCTGGACAAGGTCAATAAGATGGAATGGTGGGCTCATGTTGTGACGACGGCGCCGAAGATCGACGTGAGCAAAATCACGCCGGAGAACTCGAGTCTGAGCGATTTGGACGGCGAGACGAGGGCAATGGTCGAGAAGATGATGTACGATCAGCGGCAGAAGGAGATGGGCGGGATGACTAGCGACGAGCAGCGGAAGATGGACATTCTGAAGAAGTTCCAGGCTGAACATCCAGGTATGTCCTCATCGAGATTTGGCATGGTCTAGGGCCTAACGTGTCGCAGAGATGGACTTTTCGAATGCAAAGATTGGTTAAAGTGGTGCGGGTCTACTGCTTGTTGAGTGTATATGGATTAATGATATCAGTGTACTTGAGGTACTGGAGGTTAACAGAGAACTCTAATGGAGCTCTGTATGGGCCTCTATGATAATTATCCTTACTCATTTTCTTTGACCGGCATGGCTTTACCCAAGGCTCACTTGCGGGTTCTGTATGGAGTACCTCTCGTAGAACCACTGCTTTTACCACTTCGGGTAAGGCCTCCACAAGCGAATGCGAGAGTTGCCATTCTGGGACTAGCGCCACATCTATAGGATAGTGGTTCTCGTATTCTCATCAGCCTCACTCACCTTCCAGCGACCTCTGATGGACAGTCCTCCAAATATAGGCTGAGTGCAATGTAGATCAGCTCCGAATATCAGCCTTGATTCATGAGCTGAACCAATCCTGCTGTGTGAAAGCAGACGACCAGGCTAGCAAGGCGCAGCCAATCGAGCCTGACAAGCATCTCCTCTTCAGAATCATTATTTCTATCCATCTATAACAACCCGTCAAAGCTATATTTGAAGGGCATTTGAAGGCTCTGTTTAGAGAATACAGCTCAGATCTTCTAAAGATACCATGTTACCTTCCCCAGAAACATCGGCCTCTCCCGAGGCCGCCGACAGAACCCAGTCAAAGACCGATCCCCGACGTTCTAGGCCGTCAGGACCTCTGCAAGGCCAGAAGAGTCTATTTCGAGTTCCCATGTACCGAGCTTCCGGTACTGGACCCTCAAGCAGCGAGAGATCCACCGAGCGTGTGTACCATGCGCGGCGGCCGCACCGCAAATCCCGCTCCGGGTGTCTAACTTGCAAGAGAAGACGAGTCAAAGTACGTTGCCTTTCCTATTTCGTTCTGGCTAGGTACCATGGAGTATTCTGATGGATCCAGTGCGATGAGGCCCAACCTCACTGCCTGCGATGCCAGAAACATGGCGTTACATGTGTATATGCCGGTCCGGAGTGTCCAACCAACGAAAGGGGTATCGTTTCTTTATTCATTGAGAAAAAACCTGAGTTGGTATCGCCAAGCTCTAGCCAGTATTCAATGTATCTCCGGGAAGTGGCAGAGAAAATAGATGAGCTGTTGCAGCTAGGCTCAAAGAAGCGCCATTTATCCGATGCCGTTCGCGCTCTGCATCATTTCCATCACGCCACCACGCCTACCATTGCCATACAGCGCACACAGATACTCCTGAGAACCCAATTGACGCAATTAGCCTTCAATGTCAGTCAACCTGCATCAGAGCTTGGTAGATATAGCTGACATAATCAGACACCCCTACTCATGCACACCATCATAGCGGTGGCAACCTCCCATCTTCGTTATGTTGTGCCTGACAATACCGCTTACAAAATGGCCGAAGCGTACCACTGGCAGCAGGCCATCAGCCAGTACTCCAAGGAGCTCGGTTGCGCAGTCGGTCCGCACAATATGGACGCTCTCTTCTCCACATGCCTCCTCATGACCGTCCACGCATTCCAGCTGGAGGAATACAACCCCCGCAAATCCTTTGTCTTCTCCAATGATCCACAAGCCCTGAGCTGGCTCACATTACAGGGCGGCTTACGTCACCTCCTGGGGCTTACCAGACCCTGGCTGTGCATCAGCATGTGGTGGGAGGTTTTTATGGAGAATCACCATGAGAATCAAATCTTCGCCAATCCACTGCCAGGACGGGAGGGTCTGCACCCGGAACTAGCTGATATCTGCGGTATCGACGACACAACCACAGAAGAGAGTAATCCGTACCTGGCGCCGCTCCGGATGCTCATGGTGCTACTGCAGGCCGAGCGGTCCATCAAGAGTTTCTCCAAGTATACGACCTTCATGGGCCGGTTGTTGCCGAGCTTTTGGGCGCAACTAGCGAAGAAAGACCCGCCCGCGTTGATCATTCTCAGCTGGTGGTTGACCATGTTGGATTCTGCTCAGTGCTGGTGGGCGGAGACGCGGGTGCGGTCCGAGTGTGCGGCTATCTGCATGTATCTAGAGAACAGTGAGGATCCGCGTATCCTGCGGCTGTTGGAGTTTCCGGCGGAGGTTTGTGGGTATCTTCTCAAGCATGTTCAGGAACGTGCTGAGATGGAGGCACCCTTATTTATACCATATGAGCCCTCTTAGCTGGAGAGTATTTAATGAAATGTTCATTCATAAACAACTCGTCATTATTATAGATGCGTATGTGCAATATTCCGATCAAGATCCCGTCCAATTGCGCCAGCCACCCAATCCTGCATGCGTAGCATGATGTAGCTTAATCCCAATATCCGAGAGCATAAAGAATGCAATGCTTCCATCCAGCCATTGAAGCCAACCATTAATTACTGTAAAGTGCCGAAGAAACACCAACTATGGGTCCCGAAAAGGAAACAAGACCCCAAATGATTACTGCAACATCGTTACTCGTTAATCACCTACTCTCCCACGAGAAGCGCCGCTGGCTCTCATAACTCACCCTGCCATGCCCCGCGAGGTCCCGCGGCAGACACTCCCGCCGAAACACCGGCCTAGGCTGCGCAATGTGCGCCATAGGCGGTGGCGGAGGGAGCGGCGGCGGATTCAACGAGGAGATGGACATGGACCTCGACGGGGCAGGCGAGATCCGCGGCGAATACGGCGGCGGAGGCGTCTCCCTCGTGGCCGTCGAGGTGTTGCCGTAGCTGCTTGGGAAGGAAATAGCCGAGGAGACGTCCGAGGTGAGCTCGTCTCCGTCTGTGCTGGCAAAGTCGCGCGGGTTCTTCTCATCATGCAGCGAGGCAATTGAGCGTGAGGAGGAGATGGGCGGATCGCGCATGTGCGCTTCCAGCGTCTTCTCTTGCATGCTGCTCATCGGCCGAGGGGTGTACCGTGGCAGCGGAACGGGTGGGGTGTACCCATCCTCGTCGAAGGTCATGTAGACCGGCCCTTCATCGGGATGATAGTGAGGGGTGAAGGTGCTGTCGTTGTGATGATGATGAGAATGGTGATGGGCTTCGGCCATTGCTCGGCTTGGAGCCGGGGCTGATGGTGTTCGCGGGGAACTCTTTGGGGCGAAGCAGCCGCACAGCCCGCTGAGAAATGACATGACTGAACTTTTTGTACGACGCGGGCTTAAGGAGGTTCCTGAAAATAAAAATATTAAGTCTACTTTATCATACGTGTATGCAAAGATAATGAGTAGTAATGGATTTGGCTCTTCAATGGAGACAAAGTAGTAATGTTGAGGACGCTCGGATCAATGGATTGTCGGATGTCAGCAAGGCTGACTCGGGGAGGTCTCTCGATATCAAAGCAACATGATATTCAACGGAGTCCAGCGTGATAGCTGGACAGATGAATAGTCAATGAGCAGAAGAGGGGATACAGAGAAGAAAATAGAAGAAAGAGAGAAGCGAAGATGACAGAAGTTGGCTTCGTATATGCCCTGGCTGTGCCTCACTGCCTCAGGCCAGTCACCATACCATAAACTCAGGCACCCATATTGTCTCGTGCTGTAATTGGCTGCAACATTACCAATAAGATATGTTGATCCCTTGCTGTATTCCTGCCTGAGGCATCAATAAATTTAGGTTTTCCCCGGTAAATTATTGTTGTTATCGGTGATTTTTTCCCGATGTGCCTGAACACCCTCCCTCCGCTGCGATAGACTCTCTTTCACCAGACTAAAAGAATAACTAAACGAAGCCAACAGCATACAATGTGGCCAGACGCAGATTCAAAAGATGAGCTTGTAACCATCATACAATCAGTCAAGCCTCCCACCGTCCCCGCGCATCGCTCCCACGACCCCGCCAACAACCTCAAGCGCACCGATCCCTACCAGTTCGGCTCCCGCTACCTCGAAGAAGGCGACGACGTCTTCGAGTTCAACGCCTGGGACCATGTCGAGCCGGATGACGAGTTCAAAGCCTTCGCCGAAGTCCAATACGCCAAGCAGCGCGAAGCCCCTGTCTCAGACTTCGACAAGCAGCGCTTCAACAAGGACCCCGCGAAATGGTGGAATCTGTTCTACAAGAACAACACGGCCAACTTCTTCAAGAACCGCAAGTGGCTGCGCCAGGAGTTTCCCGTCCTCGCTGAGGTAACGCAGAAGGGGGCCGGCAGGAAGGTCGTGCTTGAGGTTGGTGCCGGGGCGGGCAACACGGCGTTTCCGCTCATCACGAATAATGAGAATGAGGAGTTGATGGTGCATGCGTGCGATTTTTCCAAGACAGCGGTCCAGGTTATGCGCGAGAGCGAGCACTATGATCCCAAGTTTATCTCGGCGGATGTTTGGGACGTGACGGCCGTGCCGGATGAGGAGAATAACGGACTTCCTCCGGGGTTAACGGAGGGGTCGGTCGATGTGGTCATTCTCATCTTCATTTTCTCCGCTCTAGCGCCCAGTCAATGGGACCAGGCTATTCGGAATGTCTATCGGGTGTTGAAACCCGGTGGGCTCGTTCTGTTCCGCGACTATGGGCGCGGCGATCTGGCTCAGGTGCGGTTCAAAAAGGGCCGGTACATGGATGAGAACTTTTATGTCCGCGGCGACGGGACGCGCGTATACTTTTTCGAGAAAGATCAGCTAGAGAAGATGTGGGGGACATGGACGCCAGAGAAGGGCCTGCAGATGGCCGAGGACAACACCATCGCGGCGGAGTCCTCCGAGGGCGCATTCGATATCGAGAAGATAGGCATCGATCGCCGCTTGATTGTCAATCGCCAGCGGAAACTCAAGATGTACCGCTGCTGGATCCAGGCTCATTACAGAAAACGCGAGACTCCTGCCGCTGTGGGAGTTGAGAGGACGGATTCTTGAATTCGCGTGTGACGCAGAGTGCCACTTTACACTGATGGAATAATCCCTCCTTCATGAGCGACGCAAAATCTGAGTCGTTGCTCTCGATACTGGCTGCATGTCACCGCATGTCCAACCGTCGTCAATTTCACCTCAGCAAGCGCAGCTTCAGCCACTCTAGTGTCTCTGTCTTTGATCAAGATAGGACCAACCTCTGCAGCCACCCTCGCTGTGGGCCCTGAACAACTTCGCTTAGTTCACTTAAAGAGAAGTCTTCAAGCGATAGCCCTGCAACATTAGTGTCCGGCAGTGAGGGCGGTCTCAGCAGAGATATAACGATGTTATGACATGAAGCATATACACAGGATAGAGTACCTGCATTCAGTTAATGTCTTGTCAAGTTACTTGGCACAGATAGATTTGTTCCGACATTTGCTCATTCTTTTCTCTTTAAATTGCATGCTCCCGACAAGGAGCATTATGTATACCAAGAACTGATGTATGTGCACAACTAAATGACAACAAGTTGCAAAAACCTAGGTTCGACTAAAGAACAACAAAGCAGCTAAAAATTAAGAACGGACCTGGTCTCTAAGACATGCACAAGCAGCTATACCACGGCGCAGAGATTCCAGCAGGAGTATTTACAAGAAGGGATCTCGAGAGAATTTGACAAATCGCAAGCACAGCATCAGCAAAATGAGCAACGCTCCCCATGCAATCGCAGTAACTCAACAGCAAGAGCTCAAAATCAGTGCTTGAAGAAGTTTATAACAAGGACTTGCAGGGGACTGAGTCAACCGCTGACAGGGCACGTAACCGTAAGTCCTTCAGATCAATGTCTAAATGCTTTTGTGTATGGCAATCAGATAATGTCGTAGAATCTTATTCGTAGCAGATCGTGCGCGGAGCGCCGAATAATTTGCTCACACGCCCTTCATGCCGTCAAGCTGGGACATTCTCCCTTAGCTCGGACGAAAGCATTGGCGAACAAATCCTGCATGGCGCAGTAGTGGAACAGTATACCACCGAGCACCGCCAGATGCCAGATGTTGTGGCTGCCACCGAAGTAGTCGAAAAGCCCAGGACGCCACCGCTCAGGAACCCGAGAGGCGTAAATGCAGGCTCCGGCAAAGTAGACCAGAATACTCTTCATGACGGGAGCATAGAAGTAAAGACACCAGGCGAGTCCGCGGGTATAAGTGAGCTGGAACAAAGGCGCAAATCCAGTAAGCGCAAGCGTCACATAGAACGCCACACGAGCCCAGGCCAAGTCACTGCGATTGAAAGTGGGATGCCAGGGCAGAACGACACCGCCGATTCCGAGCGACATGGTCATCAAAATATATGTCCAGCGAGAGACGGGCTCGCAGTAGAAAGCCGTGTATTCGGTCGTCACAATAGAGGCGGCCACCAGAAGCGAAATCCCTGTGTAATCGACGCACGCGAATCTCTCCATAAGAGGCTGGTTGGCAATGCTGTTCATGGTGTGCCACAGGGTACTGCAGACCAGACACTTGCACGCAGCAAAGAAAAATACAGCAGCGATCGCCACATCGGTCTTGGTGCTCAGGTGGAAATTAGGATTGAGAGGGTAAAAGTAGAAGGCGACCGAGAGGACAATGAAGAGACCGATCAGGTGCGACCAGATATTGACCGTTTCGTTGCAGAAGCTAAAGACCGACATGAGACATTCCACCTTCGATGAGGAAAAGCGATACCCCTGCAAGATGTGGGGGTTGATTCGCCACGGTTGAGGAAGGTCAGCGTAAGTGATCAATCGCTGCTCTTGAGCTAGTAAAATGGCACGATTAATGCTCTCCCGTAGCGAATCCTTGGCTCGTCGAGCTTGTTCTATCCCCTCGTCGACCACCTCACGAGCGTGCACCAACTTCGAGTCGACCGCCTTCCATCCGTCGTCCAGAGCACCATAAATACCGCGATCCCGAACCGCATGGGCTCGAGATTCCAGCTCGACCAGGAAGGACTCCATCAGGCGTACTCCGGCTTGAGCCTTTTGCTCCAGCGTCTCCTTTGTAGCCAGCGCATCGTTGTAGCGATCCTCGAGGGTTTCGACCAAGATCTTGGCTCTCTTCTTTCCACCTCCCATAAGCTCCCCAGAGGCGTAAGAGCATGAATCCCTCACGGCTTCAAGTGTCGCATACGCTCTGCGAAGACTCGAGTCAATCTGAACCATGTGCGACTTTCGATACTGTTCGATCCAGTGCATGCGTCTCTCCAATTCTGTCAGGAAGAGCTCAACCTGATGAAGGTCAGAACAGAGTAAACTTTTCACAGCTGGGCTTCGCCCTTACCCTCAGAAAGATAGCATCGCCGTCATAGTCACAAGACAGCTTCCGAGCCGTATGGAACGAGTGCCTACGCCTTCGATCACGCAAAAGACTAGTTTCCTCGCTGGGAGTCGACGCGAAAGACGTTGAGGTAGCGTCCGGGTACGATCCGAGGGTCACAGATTGCGTTGTGCAGGCCATTGTTGATCAATAAACAATTCAAGCCCAGATTCTTCCACCACTTCGATATCGAAATCTCAAACCCGCATAGTCTTGTAGGTTTGTCGCGGTTGTTGAATGGGGAATTGCCTCGCTGTTGTTATTGTTGGGAACTTGGGCGCCAAAAGCGGAACCTCGGAACGATAGTCCAGATCGACGAAAAAGTACGGAGTAAGGGGAGAGGCCGATAGTTGAGTGGAAAGTGTTCACAGTAATTGCTTTTATATCATCAAAATTCACTTAAGACGAGATGACCAGACATGAAAGAGTGGAGAAAGGATGATGAGGGACAGAGAGTAAGAGACAGTCAAGTCAGACAGCCAGAAAAAGAGCGGGTGGGGGGAGGCAATAATCTCTAAGACGAGGACAAAGACAGATTGGAGGAGAAATAAGGCCAAGAGGGGCAACAGATGGTTCATAGGTTACAATAATCATCAATCAGAAACCCCAGCCTCTTCATGTGAAAATTAACAGGTAGATAGATGAGGTAAGGTAAGAAGATATTCAAGCCTTATCGGTTCGATCCAAGTAACTATGTATGTCCTGCATTTCTCTCTCCCCTCATGATCCAGATAATAACCTTCTTTTTCTCCATTTCCAGCCCATGAGCATTCGCCGTCTCTCCACGTTCTCCGATACTTCTTTCTCCTGCTATCTATTATTCCTCGGTCGGGCCTTTGCCACTCGTTTCTGCCCAAGCTCAATCGATCGCTCCCCTCCATTTCAATTCTTAGCAAATTCGCCATGGCTATCGGTGACATTGTCTCCGATCCCTCGTTGCTACCTGTGTTGCGGACCTGCGCCGAGACGCGGGAGCAATGCGAGAAGCTTTTATCTTTGTTAGATCCCACGGCACAGTCTCCTTCCTCCGACCCGGAAGAGGCGCTTCGGGCTGCCTCTAAACAGCAGAAGCAGCTTTTCGCCCTTCTAGCCCAGCTTCGTGGTCAGAGTCGGGATGCTATTCTTCGGGTTCGCCAGACGAAACAACTTACGGCCGAAGCTCGTCAAGAGATCGATCGGTTACATCTGCAATTGCAGAATCTGTATTATGAACAGCGGCATCTGACTGGCGAAATTGCTGCCTGTGAATCATATGAGTATGTAGACCGTTGTTTCAATCCTCATTCGGTTCCCTTGCGGCTGGACTAACAAGTCGCTGTCTCTTAGTCACAAATACCTCTCCCTGCCATTGATTCCCGTGGAGGAGTTCCTGGCCCTTCATCCCGAACATGCCGACCTTGATTCACATGAACTTATGATTGCGCGCATTAATCACGAACATGCTGAGCGGGAGAAGCTCGAACAGGCGCGACAGGAGCTTCTGAAGCGCAAGCAAGCCTTGATCGCAGAGAACAAAAAGCGGAAAGACGACCTGGCTAGCCTGGACCAAGATCTTGAACGGTTCATTGATGTGAGTCTTTTTTTCCTTTCTTGATATTGAGCATCAACTCCCTCCAATGATTATTTGCTGACAATCGATTGCAGGCAGCAAAGCCGATACAGAAAATCTTCGAGAAGGAACACTAGATGCGGGACCTTCTTCATTTTACTCTTTTCCTTTCGTTGTTCTCATTCAACTGGCGCATACTCTGAGATACCCGGCAATCTGTACTATAAACTCCTAGGGAAAGGACTTTGTTTGCTTGTAATCTACATCATTGTCTTGTGTGGTGGCATTATCGGCCCTCGGTTCATTTTTGCAAATTTAGTGATAAAATGGAATACTTGATCTCGAACAATGTAAATGTCTGATCTATGATGAAGGGCTTGCAAGTTGTACGATCCTCTCTTGTAGCGCTCTCTGTTGCACCTCGGAGGAGTTGATGCTGCCACTCTGTTCTCCGCCTTCACTCCGCCTCCTGTTAGACACTCTCCCAGCACAACGGCTGCAACGCCATCGCTCATGCAGGCACGAGTACACAAAGAATGTCCTGGTCATGACTAGCAAGCATGAAGACCTGCGGTCTTCCATACAAACCACTGCACAACCTTCCAGCCACCCCACCATGAGTTCTAAGGCAAGCTCACGACAGCTTCCTCCGCCCGAGAAGCCAGAGGCTACTCGGACTCGATTCAGAGTCATTGCTGCATTCTGGGCCGTCATCATCTTTCTGGGATTTCCGATATGGTGGAAGACAACATCTATTTATCGGGCTCATTTGCCCATCCAGGAGATGGTCGATTGGGCTAATGGAAAGGTAACCGCATGCTCCCCCGATCTACCAGCGGAGAGTTGTTGGATCAGACACTCATTTAGTACATTATACAGACCTGCCGCCCTGTATTTCCTCTCGAAATCCGTTTTGAAGCACCATCTATGCCTATCCCAGAAGCGCAGCATCTTCTCCGAACTACACAGCATACCCTTGACGATCTGAACGAATTCTCCGCCCATCACCTCCGCCTGAAACTGTCCGAAGACACAATCGCTGCAGAAAGCCATGTGAGCGCGCAAGGACCGTCGGTACTTGCCGGTTCAGGCAAACCTGATACCGCGTTGACAGTTCGACTGTTACCTCAGGAGGATTTGGTTGCACCGAAAGCAGAGCTTCATTCCGAAACGACCCAGCTAGATATCATGTATCCCCCGAGCCAGATCCCCGCTCCCTCATCCTCCAACCCACCCTTATCGGCCTTCATTGCGAGCGAATTACAGAGTCTATTTACTGAGGAAAAGGCAATCATTGCGCAAATCCTGTCCGACAGCAACCTGGGCAGCGCCAACACCAACACTCCTCCATCGTCGAACAATCAGCAGCCCTTGGCGGTTCTCAATTCCCTCTCTCCGCAACTGGCAGAAAATATCAGCAGACGGTTGAGACGGTCCATGAAGTATGCCGAGACCTATCACCTTGCCTTTTCTCTGTTCACACCCGGCGCAGAGCCCTCCTCGTGGGACATCCAAGCAGCTGTTGAGGAATACATTTCCCCACTGCTGCAAGCGCTGGAGCCCGTTAGCAACTTCACTGTCGACACGCAAGTACAGCTATACGCGACCTTTTCTCCAACCGCACCGAAGCCCGAATATGACGACGCGCTGGCAGCTTGGACCCTGAAGAAGGAAGATCTGAGTGCCTTCATCAACGCCGCCGAATGGCCTTTGAGCCCTGGTATCGGAAGCGGCCCAACAATTAACTTCATTCTCTATGTGCCTGAGCCTTCACAGTCACCAATGCTCGTCAAGGAGGGCGGCGCGACCAGCTGGATCATCCCTCAATGGGGCGGCGTTTTCCTTCTCAACCCTCCTCTATCGACCATCCAAGAGAATCCCTCCAGCCTAGCCCATCTCTCCAAGGATTCACTGCGCGCCGCCTTCTTGACATTCTCCCACCAGATTCTCACCTTACTTGGCGTCCCTACCACGCCTACCTCCCTCCCCTTCCGTCTGCAAACGCTCATCCGCGTCCGCGCTGCGACACTCCTCCTCTCCGCATCCTCCACCATGGGCTCCCTCGCCCGTCTCACCGAGTCTCTCCCCTCAATTCCCATCCCAGCAAATGTGGCCGCATCTGTATCCACCACTCTCGCTCATCTGGCCTCGGCATGCACTCATCTCAGCGAGGGCCGCTTCGAAGCAGCTCTTGCCAGCGCCCGAGTCGCGGAAACAGAGGCTGAGCGCAGTTTCTTCGAGAAGAGCATGGTGGGGCAGATGTATTTCCCAGATGAACATAAAGTGGCCGTATACCTCCCCCTACTGGGGCCTATTGGCGTCCCCCTTGTCGTGGGGCTACTGAAAGAGGTCAAGAGGATTATTACGGATCGGAAGGCCAAGCGGGCGATGCGTTCATAAGTAATCTCTTCATTCTTTTGGAGTAGTATATAGTTTCACTTATTGGTATGATAATCAATTGACGACTTCGTCTCATTAGGTCAAATGGTCATCGGCACCAAAGGCTAGACAATTAATTAGATTCAAATGACAAGACAAACGACAGCGGCATATGTGCACAGCACGCTAAATAGTGTATACGCGACTGCTAATAAAAGAATCACGCCTTTTTCTGTATGCAAAAGAATGTATACAGACACATAAGAAATAAAGCTGTTCGCCATCAACAACGGCAAGTCAAAGGAACAGGATAGGCAAGTCAGATAGGTCGCAGAGGACTTTTGCTTCTTGACCTAGGGGTCTCATTGACCCTGTAGCTAGGATCACCCTTGCTATTCTTAAACCCTACCTGATCAATCATCTCGGTGAAGGTTGCACCATTCTCCACGACGATAGTCGGGTATGGCTCTGGCTTGAGAACACCCGTCGAGGCGAACGTCCCCGGCGGCGTGTAGACCTTGATACTCTCCGTACTGGGCATGCGAACCTGCTGCGGAGGGGTCAACGGCAACGGGGGCGGCTTTGACGCCATCTGGCTCGGCTTGGGTGTTGAGCCGAACAGGCTCTTGACGCGGGTCCCTGTGCGTTGGAGCATTGAGCGTGCGCCTTCGGAGTTGCGTTTCAGGGATCTTCGAAGAAGGAAGTCGGTTCGGTAGGCGTTCTCTTCGGAAGGGATGGGGTCGGAGATGCCGATGAGTGTTCCGCTTGATGTCCTCTGGGTGTGCTGTGCGATCTTCACAGACGGGGGCAGGTTATTGTTTCGTCGCCTCATGAGGAACATTGCTAGAAGGGCGAGGACGGCCCCGAAGGCGGCGCCCGGGAAGAAGCCGGCAATGATCGCTTTCGTTGGATAGGAAGGGCATGTGGTCGTCACAGCAGCTGAAGTTCCATGGCAGTTAGAAGCAGCGCTGGAGGCTGATGAGTCTGCTGGGTCAGATGCCGTTATGATAGTCGGTTGGACACCATCGGTTGAGGATGCGGTGTCTGTGACTTTCGAGGAAGTAGTTGCAGTTGTCGGAGCTGTAGAAGTTGTAGATGCTGTAGAGTCTGTAGAAGCTTTTGTAGAAGCAGAAGAAGGGTTGGAGGTTGTTGTGGGAAGTGAAGATATTGAGCCCGTGGCTATCGCAGAGGTCGATGTGCTCATGGCGCAAATGCTATTGCTTTGGCAGCTGTATCCGAAAGGACAGCATGAGTTCCCGCACTTCGGCAGAGTATCGCCAAGCCGTATTGTCTTGACCACAGCTTTTGGGTGGAGGGTGGCATTTTGCTGTGACACGTCGCAAGTGATCGGCTCAATAAAGGCGCAACTTTGCCCGCTGGGGCAGCAGATGGCGGAACTTCCGTTATCCAGACTCACGCAGGTCGATGTGGAAGGACAGCAAAAAGAGGACGGCAGATTTGAGTTGTTGCATTGCTCGTACGATGCTGGACAGGAGTCAGAGGCCCGATTCAGCAGGTTGTTGAAGGCATAGCTCGGTGAGATGGTAGTCACAACCGTGGTGAAGACCACCAAGAACGCAGTGAAACTTGACCTCGCCATTTGGCAATATCAAGGGTTTTTCAGGAGACAGATTTGCAATATGTACTATTAATCGCAGAAAGGATGAGTTCAGGAAGAGATTAGTCGATTAGAAAACGAATCTTCCCAACAACAAAAGAACCTAATCGCGAGAGAGCCACACTTTGAAGCTGAAAGGACTGTAGAGAAAGAACAAAGAACAATCTGCAGACCACACAAAAGATCAACAACAAAGACCGTGAACAGAGTGAGAGAAAGGAGTTTGATTCAATGCCCAAAATAGGCATCTGGCCATCATTTAAGGACCATTCAGGGCCATGGCAGCTACAAGCGCCGTCATCTCAAAATAGAGATGGCAAATGGGGCCCAACGTAGATCGCATATTGAAGGACTGATCTAGGTGCTCAGAATCATAGCAGCTATTCTATGATGCGGCCCAGTTGAAAGCGTCCCATTTGACAACGCAAGATGGGCCTGAGACGAGGGCGCGTAGAGTGTTGACTGAGAGAAGATGCAACAGACCGTCGATGGGCGGTTAACAGGCAGAGGGAAGTAAATCTCTGGCCGCTGATTGGCTGACTGCATATGCGCCTTACCTCAGCAACGCTAGTCCCAATACAGCAATTTAGAATCCGCGATGGAAATTCTGCGGCCGTGAAGCTGCTCTCCATTTGATATTCAGATCCCTCAATCCACGCCCTCATCATGTTGAACCGACTCCTCCGGCCGCAGACTCCTCTGCGTGCATTGTCCGCCCTTTCTCAAGTAAGCTTTTCCGCTTCCCAGCAGTCCATGGCTCGTAGTACAGAACTGATCGTTCCTGATAGAAACCCGTCTCCGCCCTCCCACGATTCCAGACACGACAGTTGCACCGAGTCCCCCAGTTGACGCACGATGCGTACTTCAAGAAAAATGGTGTCCCAGAGCTATTGTCGCCAGAGGCATTCGACTTTGCTTGGACGCAATATCAGACTCTCCTCATTGATAAACTGAATCTCTTGACACAGGGTGAGAAGACCTTCCGCAAGACCTCTATCTTCAGCTAGACTTAGCGCTTTGGCAAATCTGGAATTGAGTATAACATGGGGTCAATATCTGATGCTTGATTCATAGACACCGTCGACGCCGATGCGAAACCCGGAGAACTGCTGGTCAAGTACTCCCGGCGTCCGGAGATGGCCTCCGTTTTCAACTACGCCTCAATGGCTCACAACAACCATTTCTTCTTCAACTGCTTGGTGAGTAGATGGCAAGGAGGAGCATCGATATATGACCGGACGCATCTAATATGTTTGTGCAATAGTCACCCACCCCCACTCAGATTCCCGACAAGTTCGCCAAGGACATTGTCGACACCTGCTCCTCCGTCGAATCCCTGAAGCTCGACTTCCTAGCAACCGCCAACGCCATGTTTGGACCCGGTTTCGTATGGCTGGCTAAGAATCTTGAGCGGGAAGGATTGATGCACATTTTCTGCACCTACAACGCAGGCTCGCCCTACCCTGCTGCTCACTCCCGACGCCAACCGGTCGATATGGCCACCCATAGCCCCGACGCGCCTCTTGGCAACATGTACGCCGGCTCAATGGGAGCGCACTCACTGAATCAGAAGAACATGGCTCCCGGCGCCGTAGACGTGCAGCCCATTCTGTGTGTCAACACCTGGGAGCACGTCTGGATGATGGACTACGGAATCGGCGGTAAGGCCGAGTACTTGGAGCGGTGGTGGGACCGGATCAACTGGGAGACTGTCTTTGACAACTACAACGCGGTCAGCTCGATGAAGGGCGCCCGCCATGCGGCCAACCGGAATCGCAGCCTAAGCATGCTATGATAAAAAAAAATACCTCCCGGATGCATGTTTCGATAATTGAATTGTACTATACTATACTAGCTTTTGACAGCATTGGCCAGGCTTTGTTCAGGGGTTTTCTTTTCTCATATGTTGTCTAAATGTACAGCGATTCGTCTCAAGATAGAGTTACAAAATGGAAAGAATGCGACTGATCCTCTATACTATACAATTCCATGTACCCTTGGCCCATGCATACCTCTATACAACCCATCCAAAAGCCATAGCCCCAATCTATGAGGATTACCTCCCCTCCACCTCCCTAATCCTCTTCTCGAACGCCTCAATCATAACGCCCGCCATCTGCCCCTCAACCGCGCTCATCATCGCGGCATGGAGCTGATTCCGAAACTCGAACTGAATCTCCAGCTGCACCCGCGTCTGCACACTTCCCCCTTGTACCGGCACTAACTCCCACTTCGTACTCAAATACTCAAAAATCCCCTCATTCGCCCCGGGAAAGATCCCCCCCTCCTGCCCATCCTTCGAATCCACCCCGAACTTGGCCCCGCTGCGCGCCTCGACAGTCCAATTGTCCCGATTGCAGTCCACACGCGACGTGAAGGTTTCGCTGAGAGGCCCGTAGCCGACTGTTAGGAAGGCGCGCGTTGGGTACCCCGTTTCCGGATCGCGGTGGGTGACGGTCGAGGCTGTGAGAAAGGGGAGGAATTGCGAGTAGGATTCGACCGAGGAGATGACCTCGAAGAGCGCGCTGGGGGGGTAGGGGAGGGTGCGGGTGGCGGTCAGGACGCGGCTTCTGCTGCTGTCATTGCGGTTGCCGTTACCCGGGGGGAAGAGGGAGGAGAGCGAGGAGAGGTTGAAGGATCGACGGGTTGTGGTGGTGAGTGGTGTTGAGCGAGGACTTGGAGTTGGTGGTGTTCGTTGCTGATGCAAAATGCGTGGGACGAGTGCTGGCGAGGTTGTCGGACGGATGTTGAAGTTTGTTCCGCGACAAATGCGTCGCAGTGGTAAGGATGGTTTCATTTTGTGTTTGAGGACTTGCGTAGATGTGGATGCCTCTGCTGCAGACGTGAGATAGGGCAATTGACTCCTCCGAACTCCGTACTTTTTTCTTTGCTGCAGGATCCACGCGGGACGTGCCGAAAGGCAGTTTACTTTTTATAGCGACGTCATGGCCATTGAGCACAGGCGAGAAGAGTCTTGTTTCTTAATACTTTCATGTATCATTAGTCATTGTTAAATATCGGATTTGTTTGAATGAATCGCATATAACCTGAACCCTTGTCGTATCCCGAGTTATTTACATATGAAATGCATTATATATAACGGCACACAACTCACAAATGCGCCAGTTAACACAGGTAGCGGATCAGGACCATCCCTTGAAAATATATAAACAATCAATCAGAAGTAGCTATCGTTAATTTCTCTACAGAGGCCGATAAGCAGCTCTATGTCTCCAGGCCAGGATACCAAAGAGTGTGCGCGTTTTCGTCTTCAAAGCCTCGGATTTGCTGGTCCCAAAGACGCTGAGGAAGGTTAGCAAACCTGGAACGAAACGGCCTCAATGTACTTACCCAGTCAAGGTTGGTCGGCGCGTCAAGCATCTCTTCAATCACATCTAGTGAG